TACATACTATTTACAGAAGACTAAGTCAAGTTGCAGATGACTAAATAGTACTTGCAGAAATGCTGCAAAATACATGGATAATGCTTATAAGTACTTGCTGCTGGCAAATGATTATATTTTATTTGCAAAAGATCAATACACACAGAATATTAAATACTACGCGCAGAAAACTAAATACTAATGGAAGAATACGTATTGCTTGTAGACAATCAGATATTGTTTGTTGGGCAGCGGAATAGTCTTTGCATAAAACTAAATACTTCATGAAAAACACCAAGTACTGCTTGCAGACGCGTAAATACTACTTACAAATGAATACATATTGCTAGGAAATTACGCCTTAAGTGACTTTATAGCACGTTGACCTGTAAATTGAAGTTAATCACATCCATGAAAAAATATTACATTGTCTTTACAACATTACTGTACTAATCGTACATTTTTTTAATCGTCAAAACCAGTGTTGGCGGTATTGTCTGAGAAGACAAACACTAAAGGCCTATTCACACTATCGATCAACGAGCGGTCAAGTCACAGGCCGGTCACGGCCAAAGCAAAATTTCCTTCCTACTAAACATATGCATTTCACGGCAGTATATTCACACATGCGGTCTTCCTGCGATCATGAGTGACCGCGTCGGTCATTTGAAGGAATATTTGCGAGTGCCTGCAAGTGTGAATTACATTGTGTCAATCGCCGGTCAATTGAGGATTGATTTTGTGCATTCACTGGTGTGACGCTTTCAAAGTGTGACAGGTTATTATTTCGCAAATAGTTTTGTAAAATACAGATAGTTAAAATAATTTGTTCGACATAGTCCGGTTTGGAATAAATAGTTCGAAAATAAATTCTGAATCGTTGCGTCAAAATACGAAATGCATTCTCCACAACACGTCTGACACGACAGTGACCATAATTAAACACCCTTTTTTCTATGATATCACATGTTTGGGCTTCTGGTTATGGGCGTAGTAGGTTGACTTTCAAGGGAAATGCATAATCCCCGAATATTACATATGGTGCGGTAATATTTGAATTTGGCAATGTTGTAGGGTTGGGAATATTTAAAGTGTCATTTTCTAAACAAAAATTAACAAAATACCCCCATTGCTATTCTTTCCGTACGACCCAATATCAACAAAAATAAACTTGTAGTTAGCATCAACTAAAGCAAGTAAAACAACAGAATTTTTTTTTTATAATTAAAATGATTTGAACCGCTATTTGGAGGAGCCATGATTTGAACGTGTTTACCAATGCCCCTATACAGTTCTGGAAGTTCCAATACATCCAAAATTTCGAAAAATGTCATTGAATTCTTTGACTGACATTCTGAAATAGATATTCTGATAGTGTGAATAGGCCTTAACAGTATTATTAAGCGAATTATAATAGGAAAATATTTCTGCACAATTTCTCTCCTCTTCTTCTTGTTGTTGCTTTTCTTTAGATCTCGCTTCTTGCATTCTCCTTTTAAGCAGTTGCTTCAGTATCTTTCCCTCCTTCATCGTGACCACAAGTCCTACCCACTACATCTCTGGATCTTGATGCACTCCGAGAGTATTGGTTCTTTGAAGTAGCTGTATCGTGCCCGATCTTCCTCTCGAAGAGATATATGTTGTTTGACAATTTCTGAGTTAGCGTCCTGATCCTACAGCCGTATGCCGTTATATTCCCTAAAATATTTTTTATAGATGCGAAACTTTATGTTCTTCTTTGCGTTTATATCCTGAGATTTGATAATATGGGCTATTGAATAATTGACCTTTGTTGGTCAACATTATTCTTCGTACTTCCCCAGCTGGCTGTCGTTAGCCCTCGTCAGCTCCATTCTAAGATGCCTGACCTAGTCTGCATCATTATTTTCGTTTTCTCTATATTTCTTCTCAGCTCCGCCGGATTCACTACATGCTTCATTTGTCCGTAAGTTTCTTCTTCACCCATTCTTGTTTAGCTTAAGATGTTAATATCGTCCGCATAGACCATCAGCTGTACTGATTTGTTCATCACTAGATTCGATCTTCCTATTGAAATTTTTCGTATCGCATGTTCCGGTGTTCCAGGTTAAACAACGTTGGCGCCAGCCCATCCCCTTGTTTTAGTCCTTAGGTAATATTGAAAGTTTTTGCTAACTTTTCCTTAACTGTGAATAGTTGTGCTATTGGGGACTATCTTCTTTTCCTAAATCCTGATTATTACTTCTATTATTGTTTCTGCAAACTCGTGTAGTCGCTTGTTGCATGTGTGTAACTATTTTATATTCATTACTTAAGACACCACGGTAATTCTTACACGATATGTTTTCACCCTTCTTGTAAATAGGGCATATTATATACTTACTTTACTCTGAAAAAATTACTTTCTCTTCTGATATCATTTGATTGTGTAGCCTATTTCTTGATGACTTTGATTCCATCACGCAGCCATCGGGTTTCATACTCATAAGAAGTTCATCTCAAAACATAAGAATGGAGGAAGATCAACCAAATAAATTTAAAAAAAAGAACTTGGAGTAAGTTTATATCGGAGATTATCAAGAGAAATGAGATTTGAAACCAAAATGTCATAATTGCAAAAGGCGAATCTAATTTCATTGACAAAAATGTCAGGAATCTGGTCAGAATGCGTAGAGGTCTTCCTGGTCCATGTTTCACCATTCAAAAGATTAGCTTTTTTTCGCATTTTGTTGTTATGGCTCTCTGGGGAACTCCTGGTGATTTAAAGTTATTATATTGGAGTATTTTCCTTTCCTGTAACCACAGCTTTCTTTTAAACTCAATATTCGAACTAGAAAGTGCTTCTCCTTCTTCCTCAGCCTGTATTCATCCACTGGTGCACATAGGCCTTTTCTAAATGTCTCCATTTATCTCTGTTTTTTGTTATTCATATCCAGTTGTTCCCCGCCACAAGCTTCGCATCATCGATCCACCTCTTTTGCGGTCTTCCTGCATTTCTTCTAATTTCTCGTTGTTTCCAAAAAGTTATTTTTTGTGTCTATTTTTCTGTGTTTTCTCTTGCCACATTGCCGATCCATTGATATTTAAGTCTCGCTATTTGACTCATAACATCTGTGTTCTTTTACCAATGTCGCTATTTCGACATCTTGTGTCTCAGAGTGACTCCCAGCATTGTTCATTTCATCGTTCTTTGGGTTAGATAAGTTGTTCTGCAGATTCCTTGTCACTACCATGGTTTTAATACCGTATATAATGACTGGCAGTATGCAGCTATCATACACCTATCATCTTATACTTCTCGATATTTCTTTGTTTTTCAGTATAAAACTGAGTTTTCCAAATGTCCATAATAGTTGAATCCGTCACTTTATTTTGACTGTTTGATTTTCTTTGCCAACTTTAATAGTGTGGCCAAGATATATGTACTGGATTACATTCTCTAAGGAGATGTTGTCAATGGCAACATCATTTTGCACGTTGTATATTATTTTGATTTTATGCAGGTTCATTTTTAGACCTATTTTCTTTGAGTATTCGTTTAGATCTTGTAACATGTTTTTTAGTTCCCCTATGTCTCGAACCGATCAGTACCACATCGTCTGCGAACCTAAAGTTATTCTAGCATACACCATCCATATTGAGACCCATATTAATTCAATCCAATTGTTTAAATACTTGAGCGAAATAGTGTCATTCTGCCGAACGCCTTTACCAAGAGGAAATTTCTATGTTTTTGTATCCTCATCTATTTTGATGTGAAAGTTCGTTTGTTCATAGATATTTGATGATGGTATTGAGATTCTATTCTAGCATCTTCTAGTACTGCCAGAAATGACCAGGTCTCAATGCTGTCAAAGGCTTTGTGCTAGTGAATGAATGACAAGTGTAAAGGGGCATTATATTCTGTAGTTTTTTCTATTAGTGTTCTAATATTTGTAATATTTCTATTAGTGTAACTGCGTAACAGTGTTTTCTCTGTTACTACTTCAAATAGTTAGTCATAGAGATGTTTCATAGCAAACTGAGGACTATTATGTTGTTAATTTCTTCGTCCATGATGTCAAATCTATGCAACATTTTTTTAGGATTTTATATTGTTGTTTATGTCAAAAAACATAGTCCACATTTTGTATTTCTCTAATTTCGTAGAAAGTAGATTTATCGACCTCTATAACATTAACCTTTACATCGAGTTTTCCTATGTCACTCTTTTTCAAATGTAATGAGGAATACACCAATTTTCTGTTCATAATGTATAAGATCTTTTCATATAATTCTCTTCATTTCCTTTTCGCATTCAAACCATATTGCTCTCATTATTTTTTATGTTTCCTTATTAAGTCAATCAACATAAACAAATCATTACATTGTACGAAATAACTGAACTTGAATTATGTAAATATTATTAATTTTATGGAATAATTAAGAGCTAAGATATATATGTTATCCGCAAGAAAATGCCGGAAAACGGTAATTTTACAAATGATAAGTTAAGAAGAAAATAAACGGTTTAAGATATAATTGGTTAAACGGTTGAGTTATAATTGACGTAACCTCTAGTATTATTTACGACTGATATCAAATAAGAAATGTTCTTGAAAGCCCATACCAAAGCTTTAGATGATTATCTGTTTAACAGAAATGTAATGTATAATTAGCCTCAGGTACTAAATACTTCATTGTGAATTGATTATATCTTAATACGTAATTATTTAAACGTTTCAATGTAATTATTTTCATGGCTTCGAACATTTATAACGGTAACGTTTTTTAAAAATGTTTAAAATCGTTTGTTTTAAAAAAACTCATTCGAGTTCTTAGCTTTAAACTTTTCTTAAAGATCTCTGTAAATCTTGTGGGATTCTTTCATTCGCGGTCTACTTATCTGATGAATTTTTTTATTAAATATTTTTCATTTCAGGTGCACTTTGTAGTACTGTAGAGGTTATCCTCATCGTTTTTAATTTCCTTTTTCTCAGTCTTTGCTTTTCCTCCTTTCTATTCCAGATGGCGATTTAATTAAAGTGCCCTGTTTGTTTCAGACGGACCTCGAGTACGTCCTCCAGATAGCTAAGGAAGTCGAGATGAGGTAAGTAATTATTTTGGCATTCTACGCAGGCCTCACCCGGCTTTATTTTCAATTGACTGGACTTTTCCTTTGTTTCGACTTGAATGGTTTAAGGAAATTGAAGGGTTAATTCTTTTCTTTTCTCTTTTTTAATTTATTTACTTTCAACAATAGAAGTTGTTTATCGAAATATTAACAAATTCAATTTCATCTCGTTATTATTAAATGAAAACCGCAAACTTTAAACTAAACTCTCTTGAGCTGCCTGTAACAATTTCCTCCTAAAATAAGGTTTAATGAGTTTCCGACGAACTTCCGACGTAATCGTTGCAATTAAAAACTTGCCTCTTCGACTTTATTCATTACCGCGGACGTAGAAATTTTAGAAAGTATACTTGAAAAGATTGAGTATGCCACAGGATCGACTACCGACCATCATTCTTAGTAAATATCAAGGCATGAAATTGGACGGGAATCGCCATTGGGACGTTATGGTGCACCAGGAATCACGATTTTATGGCATCCTTTAAACTTTCCGTGATGAACGACCCCTCGTGGAGCAGTTTATCTGTGGTGACGCTCGAATTTTCGAGACAAAATTATGGGTTTGACCCAACCTATAGAAGAATTATGGGGTTATAAAGGTGTATATGGCGTGCTGCAGTTCTTGAAAATATTTTTAAAAGTTCGACGAACTTTATTTATTATGACATAAATTTAAAAGTTATAACTTTGAATTGCGATTGATCATGATAAATGTTATTAAATTTAAAATAAAAATCTAATTGATAAAGTTCGTTATAATATGCTTTCATTTTTAAAGAAGAGGGATTAGAACTTCATTAAAAAAGATTTTGCCGGTTGGAGAAAATTAAAAAGTTTCGTTTTATAGGTGTTTTTAACTAATTTTACTTTGGTTTCATTTTCATGCTAAAACTTTTATATCACTTTTACTTTTATCTGTCGTTGTAATAGAAAGTGTAACTTAAGAAGAAAGAAAATGTCGCTATGCAGAGACTTAGATCAGTGCGTTTTATTACGCAAACCCGTATTACGTGACACAGATTTCTAAAACCTTTCACTACTAAAGCCAACGTTTGAATCAATTCCACTCAAGCAAACCAACACTTTTATCGCCTAGGTTCTTTATGAACACTTTTTCCAAAAAAAAAGGAGAGATTTACAACACTATGGCTGTTGTCATCTGCATAGCCAAGAAAGTACATCCTGGTTGGAACCGTTCCAGTTTCTCGGTATTATTCCTTACGCCAACGAATAGCTCCTTAAAATCGATATTTGCATTAAAATAGCGGTGATTTTACGGATATCGGTTTTCTTTTGCAGATTTCCCGCTCAAGTGGATTCCGGTTTAGTGGAAGTTGTCGCTCCTTCACCTTCCTATTATCCCGATCTTTCGCAACTCCGAACGACATTGGGCGATCCAATGGAACGAGTAAAGTGGAGATCAAAGCAAAATCTCGATTACGCGTTTCTAATGTCGTATTGCCAACCAAAAGGTACGCTTTACGTCCAGTTAGAAGATGATATCCTCGCAAAACCAAATTACATTACCAAGATGAAGGAATTTGCTATTGAAAAAACAGCTTTGAAGAAACCTTGGTTTGTGCTTGACTTCTGCCAATTAGGATTTATAGGTAAGTAAATTTATAGAAATTAAAAAGCGACAACAACAATGATTTGTGGGTTTTTTCTCTCCCTTTATTATTTGTAGAATGCATACATATTAACTTTTATTTTTCTTTTTACTTAACCATGAAAGAATATATTGAATACCTTTATAGGTGTAAGTAATAGTACTCATAAAATACGTGGTTATAACTTTTATTATAATCTTGTTCATTTAATTGATGTCGTAACTTTTAACACTCGCCTGTGTTTAAAACATTTTTGCAAATTGATTTTTTTAACGTCGCTATTTTTATTATTCTTTTAACATTTTAAATAAAATTTTATGTGCAGCTAATTTAAGTTTAATACTTTTGAAAAGGTGTTCCGGATAGAAATATTAGGTTTTAAATGTTAAAATTGGTATATTATGCAAATCGACAGATGTATATCTGTGCTAAGAAATTTACTTTTACGGTTGAGAAAATTCCTTAAAAAAAACTAAATTTCAATTCTTGCTTCGAATGGGAATCGGTGTCTATATATGGCAAGATTGATTTCATCGATGATGAGATGGGGAAAAAGTCAAGTAATAAATTCCAACAATTATTGTCATTTGGTGTTGGACAAGTTAATTTTTCGTTTGACTGCGTTGGATTAGAATGTGTGAAACTGCATTTTAGATCCAAACAATAGTAAAAAATAATAGCTATTTGTATACGAATGCAACAAATGTTTATCGTTGACGCTTGAGAGGTTATAGTAGAAGCCATTGGGAGGTTAGGCTCTTAATAGAATGTTTATCTTGTGGCTGGCAAGTAAAGTTGTCTGTAGTATTTAGATTAAATAGCTTTGTTTAATTATTTATACACAACAATTTCATTTTTAAGTAGCATTTAATATCTATCAGCTGTTAAGTTTCTTTCAATAAAGAGAGGCCTGGTTAACTGAGTTCCAACTATGTATTGTGGTTTTGTGTATAATTTTCACACATCTAGTAAGAATTTACGTCATTACAATACTTTACATTATGCCGATTTATATTCTCATATAATGTAAAGGTCGTTTTGTCGGTATATTATGTTAACGAAATATCCATCAGTTACAATCAAAGTCATTACTACTTAATTCTTGCATTATCTAAATGTAGTACAGTTTAAGATTATTCTTATATTATCTTCAATAAGGTACGGCCTGTAAAGGTTAGTGCCATACATAATAATATTTGGTATACCTCTTCGATGTTAATCCTTTATGTATCCAGTTTTCTCAAAATATTTTACAGTTTTTTGTACCATCACCGTATGGATAGGAGAACGATTTAAGTATGTATCTGTGATTTCAGTAGAAGATCTTGTTCTATCGTTATAGCCTTTCCTCATTAGGACACAAAATCTTTTTTTGCATCAAAAACCAGCTTATAGAAACGATATACTTTGCAGAACTCTTCAAAATATGTCAAACTATTGACAATTTTAGTTAACAATGCATTGATATTGAAATGCACAACATGCTAGAGATAATTAGTTTATATCGAGTTTTTACCTATTTTATTTATTTAAGAATTCTTGAATACATCAAATCTCAAATTAAACTCGTATTAGGTTAGTTGATTCTTAATAATTATGAATTAACATACAGGGTGTTACATTTAAAAATCTGATGTGGATAATGACCCTAATGAATAAAATATTAGCAATTACTTTAAGCAGTCGCTTTTTAGGAAAAGCAATTGCTTCACAAGTAAAAGCTAGCAGTAAAAGCAATGGCTAGATCATCACATGAATAAAATTTTTAAGCGAATGCTGCCGTTCCCACATCTCTATAGCAGTTGCTTATTCGAACAGGTCTCAACCTACAAAATACAGATTCTTCTGTACTATTTTTAAGAATGCTATATATGTTAGAATTTTTGAAAATTCTGCTATCGTGTACAGACCCTGGCCATTGACAGTCTACGCTAGTAAAAATTTCTTTTACATTACATGTTGCCTGTACGTTAATACTGGGGTCTCCTTTTCGGTTTATATATTCATCTCCGAACTCATGAAACTTTGGAATTCTAACATGTGTGCAGTCTATCTTACCGATGGCAGTTGGAAAACGATATCTCTCTGACCATAACAGTTTAGCTTCTATAAAATCTTCAACACTTCTAGGAAATCTAATGAAAATATTAGCTTTTTTCCAAAACTGTATGCTCTATGGAAGTAAATGACAGTACTCTGATGGTGACAATGCAGCACCTCACCACTATCAATCAAAAAGTAATTTGCTCACCACTCAACATTTTCGCTATCGAACCGATATAACTTTCTGAAATCATCGTCTCTGCAATTTTTACGTACACTGTACATTTTTTGTTTACGCACATTCATATATTCAACCATAATTAAAAAGGCTTAAATGAATAGGAACTCACGTGTATGCCGTAGAGATTCAAAGTTGACTGTACAAGCAAATGATGCAGGGGTCGACCTACCTTACAAATATGTAAGCAATTGCCATACTAAAAAAAGCAATTCCTTAGTTTATTCATAACATTTTAAGCATATGTAAGCAATTGCATCTATTTTTTAAGAAAATAATTCGACTAGAAACAATTTCTGCACTTTTAAGCAATTACTAGCAGTAAGAGTAATTACTTCAATTCTTATTCATTGGTTTTCAAGTATTTGCTTTGATATTGCAAGAAAAAGCAATTGCTAAATTTTTATTTATTAGTGCCATTGAGTCTGAACTCTAGCCACCCATCTAGAGGTAAATTAGGTGTTTTCAGAGTTTTGTTCTACTCTATATATTTAATAGAGTCAAGGAATTTTGGATTCCGTATTTAAAATTAGTTAAAGCTTCAAACTTTTAGGTTTGCAATAGTATTACCTCGCTTAACTAACACTTGCTGAAAGTTGTAGTTTCCTTTTTACAAATTCAAACAAATAGAACTATTATCTTTTGCTACCGATACAGATATGTCCTGAAAACCTAATTAAATTAACAGTCGCCATACTACAAATAGAAAACTTGAAGCAATGCCGAACACTAGTGTTCTACATATATCCTCACCTGATAATTATTTTAAACCATGTCCAAAACACAATCTTACAATTATATTGTACCAATGATAACAGAACATGCAACCACGTGACATGGGATTTGGGACCACTAATCTTAGCATGAATTAAGACATAATCTGTAGTCACAACCACGAAACAAAATCGATCTGCTAACTTTTAAATCCTAATTACTGTTTTGTAGTCGTAAGGGATTTAGATATTGAATCCTTCCGCGCAGATATTTTTGAAGTTTAATGTAAGGTTAATCAGTGAAAGAAAGAAACACATATACACGTCGAAATGCTTTACGCTAACCTCTCGTCGTACTTGAACCGAGCTGTACTTGGAGTACTTTAACAAGAGTTCTCAGGCCATCAGAACTTGTGTGCCTTATCTGTTGGGGAAATCTGATAAAATGAATGAACCAAAGCCATCTACTACTTACTCCTTCAAAAACAGTGAATCTGATAGCTATGATTCAGTTGCATGGGTTAGGACGTGTGGTCTGATATAGGATCTATCTCGCATATGAGGCTCATAAAACGCATCAAGCGAATGACGCGTCCTGTTCCAAGTTCATCAAGACTCACCTTATGACACGTCTATTAAAACAGGAGTAGCACTAATAGGTGAGATTGATTTGAGTTGGAGAAGCTATGCAAGCTATAATATAGGATATAGCCAGCAATACACACCCACACTGGGGTTTTGAAATAGGAACTTAACAATTTTGATCTATAGAAGATTTTATATACCTTTCACGAACATACATATTTAGAATCCTTGGGTAGGCACATCTGGTAGTATAATTACTGTATCATTTGTTGATGTGATATTTCTGTTGGTACATTACGTAAATTATTTATCTGGTAGGTAGACTAACCAACCTTGCACCACGACCTCAAAGATCTATTGTACTCCGATAGATAGCACTATCAAATTTACTACGTACTGTCATGTTCTTCACCCCTCTCTCAAGAAGGACTGCAAATACTTCCGCCTGGAATACGGTAGAGTACGCATCCAGGCAGTAAGCTTGCTTAATCCGAAGTGTCTGGCAGTATGCTCCTGCCTCGACCCCTTCCGGCGTTTTTGATCCATTTGTGAACATACAAATATCTGCCTGAACCAGAGAATTTTCGTTTTCGATCCAGGACTGCCATTCAGGCAGTACAATCTGGTATCGAGCATTAATCATTGGTAGTGATTCCGTCAAATCTGGATATTGCACGATATAGCATTGATAGCACAATATCAGTGCTTACAGTGTCTTCCGCAGCCCATTGGTAGGACATGTCAGAGCAGTTTTGAGCATATTACAAATGCAAAGGAGATAGGCCAATTAAAACATCCATTGCTAGAATAGGTGCTTATCGTACCAGGGATTCCCAATCTAGCTATTCGTTGAATTCGTGAAAGTTTACTGATAACTGAAGTCTGTCGGACTTTGCTATACCAGGCTGCTGCTCCATATGTGATCATAGGTCTAACCACAATCACATAAAGCCAGTAGTCTTTCAGGAGTAAGACCCCAATTTTTTCCACAAAGACTACGACAAGTCCACAGAAATGTACAAACCAAGATCTCTTTATCTTGGAGCGTCCTAAATACTCTAACTAAATTGTGTAGAGCCAATTCTGCTGACGTTCCCGCTTTATGAGCATACTGGTGGCGACTCAGTGGACCAGATACCAGTGGCACTGACCATTCCAGAACTTTTTCAAGGGTTTTAAACAGAAATGACGTTAAGCTGATGGGTCGAAAGGCATTAGGAGTCTGTTAGTACATCACCATTCGCTCGACAATATCAAATGAAGTATTACTGACATAAAAGAGGCTTTCTGATTTCCTATCTCAAGAAAATTCACGGTTAACTACATAACATGTTCTAAAATTTTGTAATGCTTACACTTTTATTCCATACTTAGCACATATGTCAAGAAGGTACTACCAAATCGAGCAACGATCCCTAAAAGTCGCTAATTGCTTTTGTTATGACAAGTATTGATTTTGGAGGATAAGCATTAAGTTTATCAAAATTTCCATGTATAGGAACTAACTTATCCAGATTTACTCTTCTTTGTTTTGTCTCTATATGAATTTGTTATCATACGCAGAAGTCGAAATGTAATATCGGCTGACATGTTACTCGTGGAAAAATTTTCAAGGTGCATACATAGAAACTTTTTGTGTCAACTATCTTTGTAAGTCTTAATACCTTCAAAAAGTTTTAGCTGCTTTGTTATGAAGGTATTGTTTTAAGTGTCAGAGTTCTTCAAATACTTTCAATTTTTTATTGAGAGTTATAAATTGTGTTTGTATAATAATTTAGCACTGCTATACAACCCTATCAAATATTTTCAAAATCAGAGCTTGTTAGTTCAAGAAATTTTTCTTGTCAAAAACCAAAACATTTTGGAGATATTGTTTGTTGAATATACTGAAATCAGATCTCATGATTAGCTATATTTATAACCATTTCGTCAAACTTACTAGACATTCCTATTATTAAACGCTTAAAAATAATGTTATTTTATATCAACTTTCTGTATCCCACTCTGATAATAATAATGGTAATATTTAAAACAACAAATTACAAAAAAAAAATTTGTATTATATTATTATGACATATGAAACGCCACTATCTATTACTGTATAATCACCTTAATTTTTATCTAATAGGTGATAAAGTTTTTGCTTGACTCTATATCTAGACCAAAACCAAAAAGTTATTATTAAATTTCGAATTGCAATTAAAATTCACAATCGTATCCTTTAAATAACCTGTGTTCAAAAATAGCGGGAGTTTTTTTTCAATTCATGACAGAAAATTGAAAAGTTGTTTAAACTGCGTACACGAATGTTGTATGAAATTTTAAAATTGTGCACTTTCAACTGTAAATTTAAATTCTCCTCCACGTTTAGCGCTCTCGGAATAACCCGTGTTTAAAAAAAATCACGGCAGTCCAATAAAATTTCAAACACGAGTTTAAAAATTCTCTAACATTGTTTGTAGCGCATGCCCGAATCTACTCGTCGAAAAAAATAACTTTTTAATCTGGATAACTAAAAAATATAACGTAAACTTACAAATTATTTTTGATATTTGATAGTAAAGAAATGTTATCGTTTACAAAAATTGTACTATTACCACCACGTACTTAGTTTTAGCATACCTTTTCCCACGTTTCTAAAACATCAATTCCATCATATTAAATTAACAGTATTCTAAACTAAATCATCAACGTAATTCTCTACGTTACTCTATTAGGTACTATTAATAATGGAATTATGACCGTACAAAGTGTTTATTGCCGTATTAAACCACTCCTTCATAACTTCATTTCAACACCGTCCTTATTTACACTGTTTAAGTTATTTACGTCAATTGGCAAATGAGACAAATTTTCAAATTTGCACTAAAAACGAGAGAAAAATGTTCGTTCAATTTAGGAATGACCCACATAAATTTACAGTTAAGTTTGAAACGGAATTATCCGTTAAGAAGCTTATGTCTTTTTTCTCATCATTCCAGGAAAGATGTTCAAAAGCGCCGAGCTTCCGTGGTTAATACACTTCTTCCAGATGTTCTACAATGACAAACCGGTGGACTGGTTACTGGGCGACCTACTTTATACCAAAGCTTGTTCCGGAGAGAAGCCAATTGTAAGTATACAATTTAGAATCTCAATTATACCGACGTATATTTTTAATCTTGTTAACCATAAACATATTACTCAAAAGCAGATGGCTACCCATTAAGGTTCTACAGTAACTTTAATTGAAATGAGACCGTGTTAAACAACCATAAACCTAGTTTTCTAGAAATTTCATTTTGTAACTCCACCTGTTTAAAATTTGTTTACTGACTGTAATTTACTTACTTTACCTGGAAGGTATTATTCTCATATGAAAAGTGATTGACGTGAATAATGGTTGTATAATTGTATTGCTATTAAGAGATTATGTTTATTTTTAGTTTCTTGGTTGCTTATTACTACATGTTTAGAAAGAAAAGAAGAAGATTGATTAGTACAACAAGTAACTTATAATTTTCATCGATTTCCATATTTTTTGCAGTTGCAATAACAGCTTCATTAAATGAATACCGTTACACGTACCGAACAAATTGGTTAAATTAGTTCCTCATATCGAACAGGTTTCGACATTTTTGATACCACCACCACTACGCTAATTGGATATACCAACTTCCTGAATCCATGATTTCCACATGTTTTTCATAATTTTAATAAAACTTTGAAACCCCTCCCAGTTTCATAACTGTTCGCATCAAAACCCGCTTTGAAACGACCACACGCGATTATATGCGTAGCAGTAAAAACGAGATTTACCAACGCGATATTCAATCTACCGCCGCCTGAGTACCTATTAACGTTTAATAATTTTAATTAATTAAATAGGACGGGGATGTATAATCGAAATACGCGAGGCTGGCTTATTTAAAAGCTTTTTAGCAGATAATTAAAGATATTGAAGTGTCGTAAGGCTAAAATTAATAGGGTCTTTGCTAAGATTTAGGAGTTGAAATTCAATTACCTTGTAAGTTTATCTAATACACGGTTTTTGTTTCAGGAACATTGCAAAAAGGAAAAAGCTGAGCTTTGGTTACATTACAGACCTTCGTTATTTCAGCACATTGGTACTCATTCCTCTTTGAAAGGAAAGTTACAAAAATTAAAGGTAATTTTTTTATATTTTTTCTCCTCCAATTTCAAAGTTTTATAGTAAATATCGAAAAAGTACGAATTGAGAAACTAATAAATTTGATTTGTTTTTACGATACAAAACTTTTATTAAAAAAGGATCTTTCAAAAGAAAGCTTCAAGAGAAGTTAATTTTCCGGTCGACACAAAGAGAGTGCCCCTACTTCAACCTCTGAAGTAATAAAAGTTTCCGCCTATACTTATAAATCCGCTACCTTCGACGGTATTTTCTAAGATTAACGTCAAACTTAATCCATTTCTCACGCGAACTCGGTAGCAGTTGAGCAAGAACAAACATCGACAAGTGAGGTACAAATCTTCTCGGCGGATATTTTGAACCACCAACAAAAGAAGTAGAATACCACTCAAATGAAGACAAGAGCACAATTTAGGCTCCGTTGGGAAAACGAATTCAAAGAGTAGTTGAGATTGACGCCGAACTTGATGAAACTTGTTCAATTAAGCCTCCGACACCCGACGAGTCCGATTTTCTTAAGTGCCGGATACAATTTGGACTCGATCCAAGACATTTTCCTCTGAAACGCGCCTACCTAAACTAACAATTTTAAATTTTAATCTTGCTTGAAACTTTTCGAAAGAAATTAATTTCGTGAACTACTCACGAGAAATGTCGAAAACAAGCTTAGGTTCCAGTAACGTGAAATATTACTGGATCTAAATCATTTCCTTAATTGAATTTAATTAAGGAAAGTTATAATGTTGACTTATAATAGATTATGATGAGTGAGCGAATTACCTACGATGTACTTAATGGTATATATTTTGGTCAATATAAGAACATTAAAATTTATAAACCATGTGAAATATATATATTTCATTGTACTTCAACTTCGTAAAATTATTCTAGAGCACGTTTATGGACCATCATGTTTATTATTGTGTGAGTGGTTTGAAACAAATTATTTTACAATGTATTCCTTTAATGTACGTTATATAAAAAAGTTCTTCAACTTGTAACTAATTTTCGAGGAAATATTTAATTGTAAATAAATACAAGGATAAAAGAATGGAATATTAAAACCTCTTGCTAATATAAATCACAAAATTTGACCATCCAACAAATTTATACTAGTAATCAAAGAATGATGTTTGATTAAAATAATCATGAGGTGTCCATCCATTCACAATCAGTTATTAGACCAGCAATGACATACGGACCAGTCAATATCATACAGCAGTATACAATGAGAACTAATAGAGAACTGGAAGAACTACATAACCAGCTAGATATAGTAAAAGTAATAAAGTCAGAACGATTGAGATGGGCTAGCCATGATAGGAGACAAGAAAAACCTGTCGTCTAGTTGGTATAGAAAGAATCCCCAGAGGGAAGATGGCCACTGGAAAGACCGAGGATGCGATGGAGAGATAATATTGCAGTGGATCTACAGACCCTAAATATCGAAAGACCAGAGTAAGTCATGTTGGACCGCAGCAAATAGGAATGTATATTAAGTGTATTATAGAGGCATATTGGAAAATCAGCTACGGAGAGAGAGAAACCCATAATAGGCATAATAATGATTGTTGCCATCGCTTTCATCATCTGAATCATCATTGTTGCCTAGATCAATATTACAATCCTTCTTCTTCTTCGTCTTCCTTTTTGTCTTCAGAATAAGTATATTTTATTCCTAGTGCTTAGGTATTAGGCTTTTCTTCTGATATTTTCTTGTATGTTTTGGTATGTTTGCCACTTTTTCTTTTAAAGTTGACGTACTGCATAAAATTATAGATCAGAAAATACTAGAAGCATTGTAAATATATATTCTAAATGAATTCATATACACATCTTAGCAAAACCATCACATATATCTTTATCTTTGTTTCTTGCTGAAGTTACATTCTCTAGTAGCTGTCCTATTGGTTGTAAGCAACTCTGTATTATGATCGATCCATGAAAAAGTACCCTCTTATCCTGATCAAGTATTTTAATTATGCCACTGTGAAGATTTGCAGTGTTATTTAATATTGTTGATATTTTTCTGCTGATTCATATGCTTATCTTACTCTACTTGATCTTCTCATCACTTTCTTTGATGGGGTTATTCTGGGCAAACTCGTTGATGTTTGTGAGACCTTCGAGAAACTATTCCTCTGGGCGTAGCAGTTTGTAACCCAATAACAGGTGTTATGTCATCACCGCATTGCACCGGAACTTATGTTAAAGAGGGGTTGGTTGAGTTTTATGTTATTGGACTTTGGTTTTGTAACTGGATCCAAATGCACTTTATAATTTTTTGTATACGCCTCTCTATAAAGTTAACCTGAGGGTGAAATATGGTATAGCCCAGTGGAAACACGTTCCATGTATTGTATTGGCATGATTAGCAAGACCCATTTCGTTGATTCCATCTGATTTTAAAGCGTCAGAATTATATCGATGAGTGAAACAATCTTTATCTGTTTAACATGCCACTAAAAATATAATATTAGTTCGTTCTAAAAATCATGGTCAAAACCATCAGCTTCATTTATGGTCTTCATTAGCTCCGATAGGGTTTGCTAATAGAGTGTTCGAGCCCTAAAAGTATAAACCTGAAAGTGAATTAATAATTATATTCACCAATTCATAATATTTTCATGATATAATTTCTTTGGAAACGTCCAATTTGCTAAAGCTTGTTTACAAAGCAAGGAAATGGGTTTGCAAAAGAGTTTGTGGATTAAATTAGGGATCACGTTCAAGCGTTTAATGATATCTGATGCGATCAGTTATTACTATGGCTTTCGTTTTGTAAACGACATACGCTGAACTATCTCTGTCTAATTATCTGGCAGCTCATGATTAGGTTTTGGTAGAATGAAACTACTCATGGTGGTATATCTGTTACGTTGAATGATAGTGACATAGTTAAAAATCTTCCTGAAATGCCAACGTTTCGATTGATTTAGATCTGGTATGAATTGGGTTAATGTTAGATTTTGGATACTTAACATCTATAAATCATTTTTTATGTTTATAGTTAAGTCAGTTTTACTCATATTATAACTATTTTATCTCAAAAATAACAAACCTTTACTTGTTATGCGGATCACACAACAATATGATGTAACAACAAAGATCTTGAGATCAAGAGATTAAATAGCAAATCTACTACAAGCTTTTCTGTTGTGGGTTGTGTAAATGGTTCCTTTTGGAAGAATTTTCCGATCGCAATTCAGCACCATTAGAGTTTCTCTATACATATCAATGAATGAAATCGGCTATTTGATTCCCCTAAGTCGTTTTCCGTTCTTTATATATCTTACTTTATTTATCTTTTTGTTCTGGTTGAGTGCCACTTCCAGTCGATACAACAGTAAATCTGCCGAATAACACACTATTCTTAATCTCATTAAGGTGAAGTAAAAGAGAACAGTTGTTAGCACAATTCACAATAACAAAAGGTGAGAATGTTTTGATGAGCAAAAAATAAAATTAAAACTACCGTACGAAATAAACCAATCCCTATTACGTCTGGGCATATAAGCTTACCAGGTGTGAAACAGATGCGGCTTGAATTTGAGAAAAGTAATGACTAGAAAATTAACAAATGTACGAGTTGCCTTCAAAACATCTAAGGTCTCTTTATATGTATATAGATCTTTATGTACGAGGGTTTATTTTTTTTCAAGGTCCGATCTTCTCCAAAATGAAAACCACCATGAAAATCAAAACTGTTTTATTTATAACATTTAGATATATCACAGCTACTTCGCTGCGTAGTTGGCGTTCCGATTAAGACATTTGTTGGAGCGTGACACCAATATGCTTATTGTACTTTAGGCCAATTGTCGACGCTCTGCAGGTCTTTGTCTGAGACAAAATTCTATCCTCCTCGCCAGCGTTTCATCCGAGTAAAGTGATGGAAATCGGAGTGCTGTAAGGTGGGTGACAAAACATATCCCATCGGAAAGACTGTAAGAACTGCTTTGTGGCTTGTTCTAAATTGTCCTTCATAGACATTGAAGACTAAACCCCTAGGAGGCTACTGTGATGGTCGTGCCATGTTCCATGAAATCATCCCAGAGAACACCTTTTTGAGTCCTAAAACACAGTAGCCATATACTTTTTTGATCTTTTGTGTCTTCAGTTTCGTAAAGGACCTCTGTGACAATTTTGTTCAAGAAATCTTCTCCGTCATCATGGTAACGTTGGAAAAACGTTAAGGTAGCACCCATTCCCTGTGTTTTGTGATGATCGGGCTTCATCTGTGGAACCCACCTCGCTCAAATTTTGGTACTGGAATTTTTCACTCACGATGGTGTAAAGAGCTTACCGTGAAATATCGGGAAACGAATCACTCAAAACAAAATTGTAAAAAGACGATTTCCTCATATCGCCTGATCCACATGCTGAACAAGATCATCGGTTGCCATACTTCCTGCATCATGAACGTCTGTACATCATCTGCTTTAAAGTTCCTACACCATTGCTGCACCTTACTATCTGACTCATGAAGATTTTGACGTATGTATCAGTCAATGTGCTGCGACATTATTTTAAACTTTTTAGTTTTTTTTCTCAAAAATACCAAACACCTTCACTGACAATGAGTTATGTCTTGGGCAATAATTCCTAAACTGTGTGCTTCGGCGCCTCAAGTAGTCGCGACCTCTCCATAAGGGCGTCGCGGAATATTGTAGAAGCTTTATAATTCCAAAACATTTGGCCTAACTCTTAAGGACCTTACATGATCATTCAGATTGTCAGTATTTACTTATTAATCTACGTATTTGTTGTTTTACGTATCTACTGAGAGAGATACTGAGTTGCTTGAAGATGAGGAAAGCGAAAAAGAGTAAATGGAACAGTTCGTGGAAAATTGAAATTAAATTTTAGGTGGTCAAAATATTTCCCGGTAGCGAGGTACCTTAATGTAACTGCCAACCCTTCTTTAACTGTTATACACTTTCTTATATGTCCGGTTTACCTTTCCATAAACCATTTTGCCATTGACAACAATTTGAGAAAAGTATTGTCGCTCATTCGAAATAATTTTTGTAATCTTTTGCACCGGTCTGCAGAATATCCTTACGAAAAACTTAATAGAAGTAATCAGTCCTAAAAAACGAGTTAACTTACCCACTTTCTTAACCATTCTTTTAATCCATCGCTTACATTGTTCAATGCGTTTTGTAGCAGAAACTGAAATACACCCGACCCATGCCTTATTTATCCCTGATTTGCATAGGTCAAATACTGCGACAACACTGAGAAAAATGCTGATGATGTGGAATGTGTAAGGAGTGACAATTTGAATGAATCGTGTTTGGTCTCCTTAACTAAAACATCAAGTGAGAAACAAGAAATATCTAGATTTTTGATTATCTATTTTGACTATTTTTGATTATCGTGAAATATAAGAATTCACATACCATCATAGAAGAAGAAGTGTTGTTAATTAATTGAAAAATAAAGCAGTCGAATTTGAATTGCGGTTTTATGAGACTACGGATAATAAAAAGGATGCTTATTTGATATGTTATGTACAGTTCTGTTTCGTAAAAATATCACTGCAAGAGTGAAGGCTGAGGACCTGTTCGAGATACTTTTTTTTGTTGCTTCTGGGGGAAGGACGAACGCCCGCTTACGCCTTCCAATGATTCAGGGCAGATCTAACTCCTTGATAAACCTTAGTATAGCTCCAAGGTCGTGTTCCATTCTTATTTCTCAGGCAAACCATTCCAAAATTGTGTGTCTTAGGCGATCACTGGCGACGCAGTCACAACTGTCATAACTGAAAATAGTTTGATATTGCCTAAATACATTGGTGGCTAAATTGATGTAGTTCGCGCTTCATGTCTAGATGTTATAGAAAATTACAGACCATTGCATTCTTTCAAATTTTAAAAGAAATAATGTTATTGCCAAAATAATGATGTTGAGATAAATATTATATATTGACTTTTATTTGCAGGATAAAAATTTTGGAAAACTTGCTCTTTTTTATGGTCATAAAAATCCAGAGGCATTTGTTACTTCTGCAATCAAACACTATAAGACTTATTCCTTGCAACGAGCCTACGAAGGCAAAACATTCTTTTGGGGTCTACTTCCTCAAGCTGGTGATTGTTTAACTTTTAATTTTTCTGCACCGATTCTATTAAAATAGTAAGTAAAATTTCTTATCAAAATACATTCTTTCTAATCCTTTTCGTAATTTTTACAGTTACTTGTTTAGAAGTGGTAACGTTGAACATCCCGCTGACAAATTCTACAACACAACCGTTGAAATCCTACCAATCAACACTGAAGATTACGTTGTAATTGGTGAGTAAAAGCCCACAATTTATCTTTTGACGTTCTCTCGTAAATGTGAAAAAGAAAGAAATTCGCTATTAATTTCCCGGTTACGCTGTGTCGTTTGAACACGAACGCAAATAAAAATAGGTACTGAACTACTATCAGCTTCGTGTTTCGTAAAACTTTTCCTATCGAATCCCGCCGCTTATAAAAACCAGGGGAAAATATGGTCGTAAATACATCGGATGAAAAGGAAATGAAACTTCCTGATGGGGCAGATTGAAAAAGGCCATCGCGGCGGAGGTTTGATATATTGTGAACCTATCAAAAGCAGGGAACGAGCATGTTATTTATTGGTATTCGAATGGGTTTATTAGCTTGCAACTCATAAAATTTCAGCCCAATGTTATGAAAGGGTTTGTTTTTGTTATGTCAAGTCCAGAAAGTAATTTTGTAGCAAAAAATGTTTTCTTTTTAGATTTCGTTGTTACATTTTTATGATACAAAAAACAGACCGAATATATGTACATAAATATTCACATACTACACTGTATTCACATTTTAATTATTAACAGGAAATGTAAAAATAAATGAAACTTTATGGATAAATACACACATCGTTTTCAGTTATAATCTAAAAAAAATTCACCTGTTTTTTTATAAACTTTGTTATGTATTAAACATTTTTAAACTAACTAAATTATCTTGTATTATATTAAGGCTAATGTCATTGTTTCGATGATCACAGCAATCATAGATGTCTATTAACAGTGGTAATTAACAGATAATTACTAAACGGCTTCTTTGTATTAATCTAGGATGCGTTTAATAGGGCCATAAATTAATTACCACTGCAATCCATTTAGATTGCTGCATAGATTAATTAACTTGTCCATTCAACATTTTCCTGTATTAACATGACGGAAAACATCATAAATTCTTTGTAAATTTCAATTTTTTTCCGTCAGTTTACGGTAATTCGATTTGAAGATCGTTAATTGATGGAAACAAACTACTGGAACACCATTTGGCATTGATTAATTATATTCAACTTTAGTTCGATCGCAAAACGACGGACAACACGTTTCCCCCATCGAATTTCGGCGTTACAAATAAGCTGAATTTGGAAGATAAATTGGTACGTTGGAACCAGAAACTGGTCAAATCCATTAGTAACCCTGTCATGTAACACAGAAAAAATGGATTAAACAACTCAATTACACAAAAAAAGTGAATTAATCTTTTAATACAGTAAAACCTTGATATAACGGACCTCCTTAAAACGGACTTCGGATATTTCTCGGGTTATTCCCCTAATTGCTTTATTCTATGTTCATAGATAAACTCGGGTTATTCCTCGAGTTGTCTATACTTCTTCTTTCTGTTGGACTCCATTGTATCGGGCCAGCTGCTCTTTTCCAGAAATCCATTTCAAGTGCCAGCTGCCGATTCTCTATTTGTCCTTAATAGACTTACTACTTAATTTCCAAGTTTTGCATCCCTACAGCACCACGGAGATGAAGATAGTGGAAATATATATACTTTTTTTTTGAGATTTCGTTTTGATGAAAGAAGGGAGTTTATGGCTTTTGTTATGTTTTTGCCCAGTTGTAGTTGACTTAGTATTTCTGTTCCACATCTTTCACTGTGGTCCATCTTACAAGGGAAGTGTCACAACTGTGTCTCACCGATTTCGATGCAATTTGGTACAGTCATAGAATGGGCCAAAATAAGGTTCGTACATTTTTTTATACGTGCGGTAAAAGCCCCTGGGGCGAGTTATAGGGGTTGAAAGTTTGGAGAAAAAGTACGTTTTCACTTATATTTTAAAAATGAAAAGTGCTATCAAAATTTGGTAAATTGTAACTGATATTCATTTTAAAAGAGCTTTCTTTTGATGTATCACACATATACCAGAGGGTTAAGAAGGGCGAACTACCCCTATTTTTTTGGAATTATTTAAAAACCACCCTATCGATTTTGGCGGCATTNATGGTGTATTATGCCTTATTTTACACTAAACATTTTATTGTGCGACTAATTTACGGTTTTGTTTAAAGTATTTTCAAAATACCTGACAATTTTATCACATCATTCTTACGAAAAGTGCTTACATGTTAACCCCCGTAACTTCGCTGGGGTTGATCTAGGGCGAATGGGAAAAAACCCTTAACTAATATTTTTGAACGCACTAGAAGTATACTTAATGCCGCCAAAATCGATAGGGTGGTTTTTAAATAATTCCAAAAAAATAGGGGTAGTTCGCCCTTTTTAACCCTCTGCTATATGTGTGACACATCAAAAGAAAGCTCTTTTAAAATGAATATCAGTTACAATTTACCAAATTTTGATAGCACTTTTCGTTTTCAAAATATAAGTGAAAACGTACTTTTTCTCCAAACTTTCAACCCCTATAACTCGCCCCAGGGGCTTTTACCGCACGTATAAAAAAATGTGCGAACCTTATTTTGGCCCATTCTATGACTGTACCAAATTGCATCGAAATCGGTGAGACACAGTTGTGACACTTCCCTTGTTAGTTCCAATGTAAGTGCACTCTTCGCATCCTTTAATTAAGGTGTTATCATTTAGCACCAGATCTTTAGCGTCTCCGCCCTCGCAAAGATACTGTGTTTTTGGTACATTCGTAACCAAGCTAAACCGGTCGTATACTTCGATTAATTTTCTTGCCAAAAATTCAAGGTCTTCTTTGTTCTGGGCTACTACCACCTGGTCATCAGCAAAATGTAGGCTGTACAGAGTTACTTGTTCATCAAGTTCTACGCCCATTCGTTTACATTTCTTTCTTCACTCCGCAAGAGCAATCTGCACATATATGTTGAATAATAGAGGTGACAGTGTGCATCCTTGTCGGAGTCCTTTGGTGATGCTGAAGCTTTCTGATATTTGTTTGTGTATCTTTACTGCTGCTTCTGCCCCTCTGTATAATTCTTATATCGCCTTGATTAACGTGACATTAATTGACGTTTGCAATAGCGCTTGCCACAATTTTATTGAGAAATGGTGTCATATGCCTTGGTGAGATCCACAAATAATAGATGTGTTGCTCTTTGTGTAGCTACTTTCTTCTCTGTGATTTGGTTTAGACTGAATGTATTATGCATGCACGTTCTTGGCTGCTCGGAATCACGTTTGTTCTTGCATTTCATATGGTGCCCATTCTTCTTGTATCAATTCTATTCGACCATACGGTCGAACGGCAAACTACGGCAAACTATACAGTTTGCTTAAGGAAGTTGTAACTGTTACACATCGGTAGTTATTAGTCCTTCTATCTCCTTTTTTTTGGATTAGTGTTATCCACTCTTTCTTCCAAGCCTCAGGAATTTCTTCACCATTCGCAAAGTCTGATTTTTTATTAGCTCAATTTGAATTCCATCTGGACCGCTTGCCTTGCTGTTTTCCATTGACTTCAGTGATTTTTTTACCTGATCTGCTTTTATTTCTACCGCAAGGCCTTCTACTCTATGTGTTTCTGGGGTTTACGTTATGAACTGAGATCTTTGTTCTGTCAATTCGCTTCCATAATGTTCTTTCCAAACTGATACAGGTGTGAGTGGTATGTTTAATTTTTCATTGTTATTGTTTTTTAAGGATCGTACTAAGCTCCAAGCCATTAACGCTCGTGATCCTCCGAAGTATGTGTCTAGTTCTCTCCACTTTATGTCTCATGTATCATCTAAGTCAGCCTTATTCCCTGGTGTAACCTGTTTCAGCCATTACTGCTATGCTTTTTGTTTTATCTCTTTTTGTTTTTGCAGGTCTTCTTTCAATATAATTTTGTTTTTCACCTAAGGCTTCCTTAGCTGCTTCGCGTGTTGCATCAAGAAGCTCTAAGTATGTTTGCACTGCATTTTGCCCCCTTTACATTTTTATATCTTTTCGTCTTATCTTTTTTGGTGTAGGTACTTTAGAAGTACTCTCAGTCTTCCTATTTGCTTGCGTTATATAGTTTGTGTGTTATTATTTGTTGGCTATAACGGACACTCCTTTCCCCATATTAATCCGTTATATCGCGGTCAAAAATTATAATATTTTTACTAACGATAAATTTTTGAAAATTCTAAGTTCTAATTAAAGTCTTGATTAATGACTAGATGATGGCAGTGAACCTTTAAGAAGTTAACGATATTTTACCGTAATTAAGTCTCGTGATAGTAGTTCATCAATTAATTACTTTATGGTTAAAAGCAATAGATTAAATTTGTGGCAGCATAAAGAAAGAGAGGAAATAACAATCTATTACGTTGATTACCTTTTAGATAGATAGAATGAAGGTTACAACATTTTCAAGGGTTTTAGAACTATTGATTCAAAACCGCTCCTCAAAGTTCGCAATGCGGTATCGTTACCGTAAATGCTCCCAATTTTTCCTACAACATATATAATAAAATGTTACTTTATACTATTATATTAATAAAACATGTCTCAACATGTCCACAACACCACCGCTTCCTTTAAAATTGCGGTAGTTTCAAACTTTAGAACGAAAATAAAATAAAATAACTCGAATACACATGGTATTCCCGCGAGAGAAATGTTTACGACATGTTCATTACTTTGAAAACTTTTTAAACTTTATTTAAATGGTTTAGTAGCTTTCTTTTCCTTTACACATTTTGTTTTAAAACTTTTCAGTTTCTAGGTCAGAAATTTGAAAATAATGTTCACACACACACATTATTTTTTACTTTTTCTACTTGGTTAATTCTTTTTAAACGGATATCCTGCCAACGCATGCGAAAACCAAAATACTAAATCTACATAAGCATACATGAAGCGTAGAAGTTTTCGCACGACACAAGCAGCAGTTAATTTTTATAACCCAAAAAATGTTTTTGCAGTATAAGGATTTTTATTTTCTTTATATTTAACGCTGTACGTTGAGATTTAACGTTGGGAAATTTAGTTGAAACAATAACGTCGAAATAAATTGAATCCCCACGGATGTAGAAAAGAGAGAATGACGAAGTTACGGTTGAAACGCCGTAAATAAACTGCTAATC